CGCGCAACGATTATGTCACATCCAGAGCCCGGTAACTTTACAGGAACCTTCCTCCTACTCCGCTCTCTCAGTGGAGACACGGCGGTTGAGGGGGCTGAGCGAGAGGACGTTCCTGTAGTAGTTCCTGACCCCCAGATAGTACCAGGAACTTCTTCAGTGGAAACGGGCCTAGTGATGCTGCACAGTTTGAGCCTTCAGGCTATCAGGCCTCTGACAGCTAACAGTCCTGTAGGGGAGGTGGCTCCCACACTGGGACACAGCTTGTGGTAATGAAGCATGTGCACTCTTATTCAGTGTATTGCATGTTTCAAGATAGTTGGTGTTTCAACACAGTATGGTCAGAGCATGTGTGCATGTGGTTATGTGTTCAAGCATGGAACAGGGATGAGAAACACAGACAGGCTGTCAGAGAGAGAGAGTAAATATGCAAAGGTGTTTTGGTGATGAATCCATTCCAGGAAGACAGATGGACAAACAGCATCTCTAACTGATCTTTCCATGAGTACCTTTGTAACCAAATACAGTGCGAGGAGTGAGCGCACACACACACACACTCACACACACACACACACACACAGTCAGGGCCAGGAGGAGGTCTCTGGGGTAAACAGATGTTCTGTGTGATGTGATTTGCATGTTTTGATTTTTTGCCATCCGCTGCTGGATCCAAAATGGGCCACTCTCCTGTTTCTGTTGCTGGGCTCCCACAAGGCCATGCTACAAACTTTCAAGGCCAACAAACCACAGAAGCCAGTCAATCCAGAGCATGGGCTCTAGTTTCGCAGACCGGGCAAGGCGGGGGCGCAGCTTGCTGCGCTTCACCAACTGGGTGTGGCCAGGCCGATTTTGCAAGTTTGGCACACCGTGCGCGCTGGTGCAGCTACTCGTCTTTCCCACCTCTGTCCCTCCTACCTGCACAAGTCGGAAAGAGGGAGGAGAGAAGGCGTGGAGTGGGTTTTACACAGCCGATTCACAACACACCAATCAAATGAGCCCCTCTCCTCGCCCTTAAATGCGCGTAATGAGAGTTTACTCAATTCGCCATGGCAGAAGAGAGCAGCAGCGTCAGACGGCCAAACTTCTCCCAGGAGGAAACTGATGTTTTGGTCCGGGAGGTCCAAGCTCGCAGTATCCGAATATATATATAAGCAGACCTCCACGGGCTGATGATGCAAAGGTAGTCTGGGAGGAGGTCACCACAATTGTAAATCAATGTTGCATTTCTCTCGTGCGCGTGTGCTCTCTCTTTCTCTCTCGCAGTCTCACTCTGTTTCTTTTCTTTTGACTTTTCTAAGATGACAGATGCTGAATATATACTCCCTATCTGATGCTGTGGGTGTTTGTGGTTGGCTGAGAGGGATGTGAACTCATTAGTTTGCAGCTGTGTTAATCAAATCAGTTGGGTTTCCATTACGCATGCCAAACGTGCCAAACGGTGCCAATCTCCTTTGATCTGACATCAGATGTGACGGGACAGTCGATATAGAGATACATTTATGTGCTGATTGCAGATAGTTGCATTGAATAGTGGTTTTTGTGGGTATTTATTGTATTGTTAATGTGCCTGACATTCTGGAAACCTGCCTGTGAGGTTTTGGTGACGTGTGCGCACTGTCCGCCGGTCAGCCAAACTTCCACTTACACCGGCTGCGCTCTGCCTGCGCTGACAGTAGACCTGGTTTCAGCTGGCAAGCTTTTAGCACACCTTCGGCGAATCCTTTTGGCACGAAACTGTCACTGCGCCAAGCTGGATCTGTCGACACTTCCCCCTGCTGTGCCGCCACACCCATCTCAGCGCACCTCGGTCTGCCAAACTACCAAACTGAGCGCGCCTCGGGTTGCTTTGATTAAACAGGTCAGGGTCAATACAAGGGATGCACTGATTTTGAAATTCTGGGCTGATACTGATACCGATGTTTAAAATAACAGTTTGGCCAATAGCTGATAGCCGAAGCTTAATGTTTTCATGTTGTTTCATTGTTTTTGTCTGTACCCTCTTTTGTGCCAGTGAAACACAGAAATTTACACTGTAAACAAATAACTAAACTGTTTTAAAGTCATGAAGCCCTTCATTACACTGTTGGGAACATAAATTAGCATCACACGAAGGCACCAATTATGTAGGGAAGTTAAAGATATCAGTCTCATGAAATTCACTTAACTATTAGTTTGGAAATTTTGATCAATAATTAAATTAATAACCATGAACAAAATTAACAGTAAAGCCTGAATGATTTCGGAGTTCTTGACGCAGCAGAGGTTGATTATTCATTCACCCATGGGCAACATTAAACAGACAGCAGGTATGTTTCCAAAGAATTATATTTATTCATAAAGTAGCAAAGCAAAACCAAACACACAAATTCTAACGAACAAACTATATACAACCTTGGTGTGTGTGTGTGTGTGTGTGTGTGTGTGTGTGTGTGTGTGTAAGAGAGAGACAGAGAGAGACAGAGAGAGAGAGAGACAGAGAGAGAGAGAGGAGAGAGAGAGACAATGGTTGATAACAATAACTTCAAGATGGCCAAATCAAACTTGGCTTCAGATTGGGAGAGGTCTTGTTTGACCGTGTGGTCAGGACAAAGACAAAGGAAAAGAAGTGTGAACTTTGAGTTGCCTCTTTGGGTGTAGCTCTGTTGAAAACCTATTTGTTAATGAGTCTATGTGAATGTCATTTGTGTTGCAAACGATCTGGATTAGTGCAGAGATTCTTTAGTTGTGTGCAAGAATCTGTCTGTGAACAGCATTAGCAAACTAAACACTTAGCTTTGGCGAAGCCAACTAACCAGTGACCTAACTGCAAACAATCACAATAATAACTCATTGCTTTAGTGGTGTGTTGCTTTGGTAGCTGGCAGAGGAAGGCGGGAAAGAGCTGTGGTTTCAGATGCAGTCTTTGTTGTGTCCTTTGTTCCAAAGGTGAAACTCTGAGGAAGCTGGTCACTCAGGGTCTTAGCAGAGTTAGATGCCGTGTGCTAACTCAACTTGGTTCTCCTTGTTGCTAGAAATTAGTTTCAAACCTTGTGCTTGCAAATCTAACTTCTCTGGTTCAGGTTAAGATTTTTTTGGGGCATTTTGCCTTTAATGGACAAGACAGCTATGAGTGAAAGAGAGAGAGAGAGAGGGGATGACATGCAGCAAAGGGCCACAGGCTGGATTCGAACCCGGGCCGCTACTGCAACAGCCTTGTACATGGGGCGCCTGCTCTATCCACTAAGCAACCGACGCCCTCTTCAAAAGTCTTTTTAACTCTATTAAATATATAATAATACCCTCTATCAAGATCTCTGTTCATCACAAACATGTTTTCTATTGTCACCGGGAGGACGGACACAAGCTGCTACTCGCCATCTCGTCACACAACAGTGAGATCACAGATCTCATTGTCAAAAAAGCATTGTATTCTTCTTGTACCTGCTAATTAATTTAAGTTAGTCTGGAGCCCTGCTTTTTAGCCTGCACAAAATTTATGGGACACAATAGAAAACATCAGAAACTATCATTGGTGAGTGTCATCTTACTTGCTGATAGGCCAATGGCAGTCAACAAGGCAAATATCGGCTGATACTGATGTTCAGCTGATAAATCGGTGCATCCCTGCTGAATACCAACACTGCCACTAACACATTAGTTCCTTCTTTTCCCTACTTTAATTAACAGCACAACCTTTTATGTAACAAGAGCTTCCATGTTTTTCAACAAAATGATCCATTTTGTGAATGTATGTCTATTTGTTGCTGGATGTTTTTCATTATGTATAGCTAATAACTTGTGAGTTTAATGCAGCTATTTTAGTAGTGTCAGTGATAGATAGTCTACTAGGACAAAAGTGAAAGGTCTGTGATCAGCTGGTTTTGGGTTGTCCAAGTGGGTTTAGTATGGAAAAAGTGGGGGAAAAAATTGTAACAACAAAAATTCCAATGTCTGTATTCTTAGATTCACACATGATTTTTGATTGCACATGTTTAACCAATGTCATAGCAGCTGGGGACCAGTTAGTACTGCAGGTGGCCCACTTTTAGCCCACTTTGGCCCGGTCATTAGCCCACATACTGTAAGTGGACAAACATGGGACTGGAGGATGAATGCTTTAATAGGCTCAACATGTGGCCCACCTTGGCCTTTGTAGCCACCCACATTTGCAGACACACAAGGGGCACAGACAGACCCAGGGCCATATGCCAATGTGAGCTCCTCAGTTGTAGCTGTAAAAATATACACTTACACAAAAAACCTCTGCAGGATTTCCTGAAATATTTCATTTTGATGAATCCTTATGTGTTCTGCAGCCTACACTGCATTGGAATATGAATTGTAGTGTGATGGTTGTACATAACTTAAACATGTAAAGATCTGTGTCAGTGTAAGAATGACACACATACCAATTCAATGAGCTACAACAAGCAGGCATTTTTTGATTAACAGATTTATGCAAAAAAAATTCAAAAAATATTTATCTGATATATTTTTTACAGCTGTTGATTTTAGTGGCTGTTTTCAGCCACCCAACCACACATTAGGGTAGTAAAGTTGGCGAAGGGTGTATCCTTGACTTTAAGAAAATTCTAAAAAAAAAATTTCCAAAATATATGTTAAAGTAAGGCACCTCCCCAAAAACCATTCAATTTGCTGAAACACGGGCTGAGTAATGGCCAAAAAAACTGCTAAAATCCGACCCCTAGTGGACGAAAACGTCCCCAACAGCACATGAGGGTTAATCAATCAGTCGCCTGACCCAAAATTAACTGCCAGTTATTTTGTTCACTGAATAATTGTTGAAGTGATTTCAAGTAAACATGCTAAACATTCTCTGCTTCCTTTTTGCTGTTCTTTGTCATTTTGTTATCGTCACCATCACCAAGAACTCTGAGAAAATGTGGTCAATATGTTCTAACATTTAACCAATTCAGTAAGAAAATAATTGGCAGATTAATCCATTATTAAAAAAATGATTAGTTGAAAGTCTACTAACATGTCTTGTCTGTCCCACTTTACAGACACATTGAGAACTGGACTGATCTGCAGACCTTGAGGGATGTTGACATGGAGCTCTACACTGGCTTACAGAGGCTGTAAGTGGGAACACACTCCTCCACGTGTGTGTTTGTCGACAGTGTTGTCAAAGTTAGGCTGGAAATATTTTGAAATTTTGTATGTTTTATTTCCAAAACTTTGTCCCTGTATAGATTGTACCATATGTAAAGGTCACATATCTAGTAAAATGACTATACATTTTTATATTATATTTTCAGACTGTTTTGGAATGTTTTTCCTCTCCCAAAATGTGTCTCTACCGAAACATATAGTATTATATTATACAAAAAAATATATATCAACCTGTCTTGCTTGTTCCTTCCCTTGTTTAAAGATTTAAATTTTTACAAAATTTTACTGAAGATTTTCACAAGTAAATCTATAAAAAAGTAATATTTTAACAAATTTTGAAGTCAAATTATAGAATTCTTCAAAATCTAAATGCAATCTTTCTTTGTAAAATGCATAACGCTGATCAGATTGATTTCAGAGTTAATAATTGATGAAACAGACTATAAATGCAACCGATATGCATTAGTTGATAACTCAATATACTATATTTTTTACAAAACATCCAGTGTTTCGGTAGTGACTGTCCTGTTTCGGTAGTGACCGTTATTCTGTTAAGATTGCATCATATTCCCTCAAATGTATGCCTTATGGTGGGAATATTACAAAGACAAATAAAAGAGTACAGCAAAGTAGAGCAGAGTAGAACGGAGCAGAGTATAGAGTATAGAGTAGAGCAGAGCATAGTACAGTAGAGTAGAGTAGAGTAGAGTAGAGTAGAGCAGAGTAGAGTGAAGAGTATAGTGGAGAAGAGTATAGTGGAGCAGAGTAGAGTAGAGTAGAGTAGAGCAAAGTAGAGCAGAGTATAGTAGAGTAGAGCAGAGTAGAGCAAAGCAGAGCAGAGCAGAGTAGAGCAGAGAAGAGCAAATAGAGTAAAGTAGAGTATAGTAGAGCAGAGTAGAGCAGAGTATAGTAGAGTACAGCAGAGTAGAACAGAGCAGAGCAGAGTAGAGAAGAGTAGAGTATATATAGTAGAGCAGAGTAGAGCAGAATTGAGTAGAGCAAAGTAGAGTAGAGTATAGTAGAGTAGAGCAGAGTAGCGCAGAATAGAAATGAGCAGAGCAGAGTACAGTAGAGTAGAGCAAAACAGAGCAGAGTAGAGCAGAATAGAGTAAAGCAGAGTAGAGCAGAGCAGAGAAGAGTAGAGTATAGAGTAAAGTAGAGTAGAGCAGAGCAGGAAGAGCAAGACTTTGGACCACAAAATTATGGGGTTTAACTACTGACCATTCCATTTTGTCACTAACGAAATGATCATGTCACTACTGAAACTTTACCATAGGTATCGGTAGTGACTATTTCGGTAGTTACATTCCTAGCTATTTTTCAGGATAACTAAAGAATGCTAGCAGTCACATGGCTAACAAGTACATGTTTGAAGAGTTGTTCACACAGAAAAACATAATATTTTGCATAAACCCCCAAATTTTTATATAAAGAAGAGAAGAGAACATGTGTTCGGTAGTGACAACTTCAAAAGTTGCATACTAATTTTCAGACTTTGGAAGACATTTATTAAGAAATGATGGGAGTCAGTGACTTACCATGCAGCTATCTGGGACGGGGGTGCAGTACTACCCCTCTTCTCAGAAATTCAGGGGTGTGGCTAAAATCCAGACTCAACCAGTGCATTAAAACTCTTGTGTTTCGGCAGTGACATGAAAACAAGGGACACGATTTTTGTAGCATAGTTTCTTTATTTAAAAATTAATGCCACAATAAATCTAAATCTTTCAACTTAATCACAAATATGTTATAAATTACATTTTTGAAAAAATATGAAAAATGTTTTAAGTGTTATTTACATGAATTGAATTTTAGATGTCAGGGTTGGGGACAGCTACTTCCCAATAGAAAGTACCCTATAAATGGTGATTTTGTATATATTTAGCTTATCACTTTTTCATTTAATGTCCTGGGTTTAAATATGTCATAACATAATCTTTGTAAATATCTATGTCTGAATACTAAATTTTATTATTTTTGTTGTTTTTTTGTTAAGGGACAGCACTTTGCACACAATCGGTAGAATGCCCCATATACAAAACTAAGCAAGACAAAGTAGAAATGAAGGTTCCACAGTATATACACTATACATACCAACAAGGTTGTTAGGTCCGGAACTGTGTTGTAACTGTGTTGTAATTGTAACATGCAAAAATATATATAATTTTTTTATCATTATATGTATATGCCTCCGTGCCTGCAACAGCTGTGGCCAGACTTAACGATGAAGTGATTAGGTTTTGGTTGTCTCAGGTAAAAGGTCAACATCACAATAACCTTCTGTGTCTCAAGAATGACGTGAGGGAATTTCTTCAAATTTGGCACAAATGTTGGGGTTTTTATTATTATTATTTATTTTTTTAATTTTATATACTTTATTAATCCCCGCAGGGAAATTCAATTTTTTTTTTCACGTGGAGAGATGTCAGAGTGGGCTGCCCATGACAGGCGCTCCGAGTGGTTGGGGGGTTTCAGTGCCTTGCTCAGGGGCACCTCAGCAGTGCCCAGGAGGTGAACTGGCACCTCTCCAGCTACCAGTCCACACTCCATATTTTGGTCCGGACGGGGACTTGAGCGGGCGACTTGAACCCTCCCTGGAGACTAGCCTAACAGCCTTTATTGGAAAAACTTCCTAATATGAGTCAGAGAGGGCCGTGATACACCAAAGTGTGTCAAGGGGAAAGTAAGGAAACAAGCAAGGGAGAGGGGGCAGGTGCTTAAGTCCTGAGTTATATAGTGACAGTGCATGCGGAGAAGAAGGAGGAAAAACAAACAAATAAACAAACAAACAAAAAAAAAAAACGGGAGAAACAGGCAGTGTAGCTGATGTACTGTGGCCTTGAGGTGGTTGTGCTCCATGCAGATTATCAAAAATAAACATATACATGTCTACTATACTGTACTGAAAAACAAAAACAAAAGAGAAGTCTATACTGAACACCAAAAATGTGAGAGTCTTGGTGGAGGAGGAAAGCCCGATTGCAGAGAAGAGTTGCCAGTGCGGTGTGGTAGGTTTGAGAAGCAAGTGGGCCCCTTTGGAGTGATCCCATCGGTTCTTTGCGATGCGTCACGGAGCTGAAGTATCGAACATGCATGCGTGTATTTGAACCCTCCCAATGTGTTTATGAAAACCATCACCAGGGTCCAGGGCCAGCCCTGCGGGGGAAGGGGGGCGGTATGGCACCCCAAGACCGCAGGAGC